TATCCATTAACAGTAGTACCAGGGTTTCGTAACACGGCACCCCCAACATCTCTGTAGCACCCAGTGAGTGATGATTAGACACAGTGGGAAAATACAGCAAACCTTTTTGGCAACATTGTTTAACTTAAACATGCCAATAAAGCATATTGAAGAGAGAGAGAGAGAGCGAGAGAGACATTTGAAGAAAACTAGATGTCCTTGAGAAGAGAAGTGAGCGGTGTGGAGGGGGGACGGGGCGATTGAGACTGTGGGAGAAAGGGAGGTGAGAGAGAGGGATTGATAGGAAGTAAGAGAGAGTGAGAAAGCTGACAGAGAGAGCGAGAGGGAGAGGGAGAGAGCGAAATATAGTCCTTCCTGGTGTAGCCCGTCCAGAGTGTCTCGTCTATGAGGCAGTAAATCGCCCCAGTCAATGTGTGCTCTCCAAACGCTGCCTCACATTATTGATAAATCAGTGTGTGTTAATGAAAGGCGCTGGTGTGGCCTGATGAATCACGGCATAACAATGAGCCTCACACACACACACACACACACAGAAGAACACATAATCTACTGTCATTTGTCGGCGACACAAACATGCACATATTTTCTCTCTCTCCTGCACACACACACACACACACACACACACACACACACTCGCACAAACTAATTTGCAGTAGCTGGATGAACACTTGGCCCCGTGCTGCAGTAAGAACTCCGAGTGTTATTCTATCCTGTTAACAGAAGAGAGGAGGGCTTCCACAGCAGCAACACAAGCTATTTTGGTTTCGCTTTGATATCCAATAGGCGGCTTAACATCCTCATTAGATCATATCAGCCCCCCCACACGCGCACACACACCGCACACAAATACACACAAACACACGCAAAGCCAGGGCAAAATTATCTCTCTCCCACACTCCCTACCTAAATTACCATGACATCTCATCATTTGTTTGTGTTTGTGTGCTGATTTATTAGTTTATGTGAATGTGTGTATTTGTATTTATGTAAGTGTGTGTTTGTAATTATTGATATGTGTACTTGAGGATGTGTGCACTTGAAAGTGTGTGTGTTCTCTAGCGCTAGTTTGCTTGTGTGTGTGTGTGTGTGTGTGTGTGTGTGTGTGTGTGTGTGTGTGTATGCAGGGCGAGCTGACCTTGTTATAAGCTGAGTGGGCTGTAGTGCTCGGGCGTCATTAGTATGGGTTAGGTGAGGGTTAGAGGGTGTGTGCCTGTGTGTAGAGGTGAGGGGGTGACCGAGTGGGGGAGAGGTGCTGGATGACAGCGTAAGGGGGTAAAGGTATGTGGGTCAGCCCGGGGCACACGTCGCTCCCCCGCAGCCAGATAGCGAATGTTTGAGGACACACGCGTTGGTTCTTAAGTACAACTCCTCCTGTCCTACAATAGCCTCAAATGGCCTTCAACAGCACAAAGTGAACCTGGACTATCCGGTCACAGGGCAGTGACGCATAAGCAGTGTTAGATGCATGATAGCATCTACACACACATAGGCCTACTCACACACACACAGAAACACTGCATATTTAAGACGCCATTAGTTTACCTGTGCAAGTGCTTCTCATCTAAGTTATTATTTTTGATATTTTGTCTTTTTAGCAAGAGGGTTGATATTTAAGAAAAGCCCCCAACTGGACTCGAAGCAAGTGGAGGGGTGGAGGGGTGAGCTGCTGCATGACGTGAGTGCTTTTTCTACACCAGATGAAGCAAAATGTATTGCAAATTCAAAGTGTATTCGACTTACAACTTTTCCACCTGAGCCTTAAAAAGGTCTTCCAATAATTCTGAATAGTTATTCTTTCTTTTTTTTTCTGAAAATGCACAGCTGCATGGAAACATACCCAATTGTTAAGTCGTTTCTAATCAGGCCTGCTGGGAGACGATAGAACATGCAAACAGTTACCAGTGAAAGAGACTTCAGTCGAAACAAGTAGAAGCTATCACTGATATTCATAACATCTAAGAGTACAAATAAGAGTGGTATTACTCCAAACAAGGGCAGAGGCAATGGTACATGATGTTGGCAGCATTAGGAGGCTGGCAAATGAATGAGATAGCACACATCAGATGGTATGTATTAGCAGCTGTTTCCTGACACGTGTAGCTGTTCCTGATGATGATTTTAAAGTAAAACCAAACGCTAAAAAGAACTGTACTCTGATATGCAGAGGCTAGTTTAGTAAGTGAACAAAACACAAAATAATAAAACCACAGGACAGATTATTGTACAGCTGATGCTTTTGTGATGTTTCACCACTAACCCACAAAGTTGCCCATTCCCCACTGGTTTCGGGCACAGTACTTTCCACATTACGTAACCTGAGGGTGATCATATTGCTTTGGTGCAGCTGATTGTTTCTCTGCCTGCCTGGAAACAACAGCAAGCAAATTACTGACTTGGGCGTGACTGTGTTGTTGTATATGTCTTTCGACATTTAACCTAGGTGGAAACATTGTAATGATCATAAAGGGCTGCATCAATAATACTGACATGCTGCTTATGTGAAGTATCACAGTGCAAACGAGGCGTTCGTCTTGCATTATAAATTAAAAGCCCATACAAGTAGTGATGCTGTAATACGTCATACCAGTATCCGCTGTCTGTAGTGAAAACTGGGTGGATTTTTTATTTATATGCCTCAGGTAGTTCCTAGAATCTTATCGTCCCTGAGTGCATAGGAGAAATGAAAACTGAGATTCTGTGCTTGACAAAAGTCTACAGAAGCCAAGAGAGAGTAACGAGAGCCAAAGGAAGCCAATGTGACAGTGGAAGCCATCAGAAAACAATGGGAACCAACCAAAAGACAATGCAAGAGACTATAAGCCACAAGATGCAGAATAAGCCAATAGCAGCCATGTGATGCCAGTGAAAACAATGGAAGCCAGTTGGAGGCAAAGTGAACGCAAGCTGTAAGCAGGCTGCTCTGAAGTCCTGCCAGGAGGTGGAAGAGGATGAGGAAGAGGACGAGGAAGAGGAGGAGGGAGAGGAGGAGGAAAAGGAGGAGGTGGAGGCTACAGCTCGGGAATATTCCAGTCATTTATTCCTGGCCAGGGGTCAACTGTGGCCTCGGGCTGAAGCTCAGAGAAGGAGGGAGAAAGTTACACATGATGAGAATCCACACTCACAAACACCAGCTAGCGCACACACTCATTGTCAGGGGCCAGCAGTGTCCTCTATACGCTGAACACACCCACATGTAGAGACTCCATGAGAGAATGACAAAGACGCACACTGCCACGCTCGGTACTTAATGCAGACCCCTTGAAAATCACAACCTGAAACTGTGAAGACGGTAATGCGTCTCTGATCACAGTCTCCATACCTCGTCCCCATGATTACCATAATAAATCCATAAGAGTGTCGGAAGCACTGAAGCCATTAGGATGGAAATGGTTTCAAACAATGGGCATGGTGCACGTGTGGCCTTTTCCCAAAGAGCTGTCACTGCCACGACCTGTCCAACATATTTTACAACCGTAATTACAATATAGAGAGCGGCCGCCTCTATGGCAGATGCTGCTTCCCACGTTAGAGGTTCCACCACGTAATTATCATGATGAACTTGGCACACTGGGGTAATAAATATCACAGAACACACACACACACACACACACACTTACGCTTGCATGGGGCGGAAAAGGACTCACACATACCTTACGTGGAAGTGCAGGACAGTAGGTGAGGGGAAAGACACACACAGCCATGCAGACTGGTGAGGTGGGGACAAACTTATCCAGGGAAGACATGCATGACGATACACACACATACTGTTGTATAGAGGGAGACAAGATCTGTGTCAAATGTAGTACAGTGCTTAACTTAACAGTGAGAAAGTAGACAGAGGAATAGATCCAATGTGACTTTCAGACAAAGACTAAAACAAGAAAAAAAGAATTTAACTTTTTAAGATAATATTTCAAGTCAAAAGCAAAAACCAAACTGGCCAAAAAAGAAACAAACTCAAACATGACTTCTGAAATAAGACAAATGGGTAATATACCTTTAAAAGCTATAATTGCTAAGACTAAAGATTAATGATATATAATTATTTAAACTGCTATTATTATACATAAAAACTAACCATGGCAAGTACATCTGTTTGTGGACAAACGGCCAGCTCCACTGGTGTGTGAGTGTGTTTTACTGCTCGCTTCTGCCTCTCCTTATAATTTAATGATGTATTTACAAAAATACCCAAAAGGTTTCACCAAGACCCCAGAACCTCCGAAGAGCCATATTATTGTAATTGTAAGTATTGTAATCATTAAGATACAGTATAGAGTTTGGATCTGTATACAGTATAGTTACAGTATACAGAAGCATTATTCTCAATTTATCTTTGACTCGTTATGTCAAAAACCATCACCACACACAGCACAGACACACTCATCGCAGAAAGTGTCTTATTTAGCTTCATTGAATCATTTTGCAATTACATATACCATGCAAAGACACAAAACAAATTAGGCCAGGTTTCACTTGCCTGGAGGGGAGCACAGGGACAGTAATGGCCCCCAGAATTGCAAATGAGGCGCCTCTTGACATTTTTATATCACAGTAAATCAGCGTGTGTACGAGCCAGTCCATTGTGTGTTTGCAGATTACCAGCGTGTGTGTGGACGTGTTTACATGCACCTCAAGAACCTCGTCAGAGGCACAAATCTATGTGTATTAAGCTGGAATTTACTCTGTCCATTTCCTGTACTACCCTAAATACAGAACATGTTGTGTACAGCTACCAGGAAGATGGGCTGGGATGTTTCCCAGATTCCGATTAAGTCCTGAACTGGAAATTACAGGCTGGGGATGTTCTCTATTGAAGCTTGACAGCTGAGGATTAATCTGTAGTCTGGCACATCAACTATCAAAATCCAGTTATTCAGTACAGGCAGAAAATGGAGCAAAGAAGAAGAGAAGACGGACAGGGTGTAGGAAGGAAGGAAGGAAGGAAGGAAGAAACTAGAAGAAATGAGATTTTAATAAGAAGGCCTAACAGAACTCACCTGGTCTTTTTTCCATTTTTCTCCCTCGACTGCCACATAGTCGAACCTTTGATATTAATATGAGGATTTGCTTCTGGCAGAGTGACTTGTTGCTCTTTGGGCAGGGCTTGCGCTTGCTGGCGATCTGCCGGTTTGCCTGGGGGTCCTTGACCTCCCTGCGCTGGCGAATGAGGGAGCTGGCGAGAGCGGCCATCTTCCCAGCGCTGACCCTGCCGCCGCCTCACCAGCCTCTGGCGGCTCGGTGGCGCCCAGGTGTCGGGGGGTACCGTGGGCCACCCCCCTGCCCGCTCACCCAGGGCGACGGAGCACCGCTGAGGGAGGGGTGCAGAGCGGAGGAGGGAGCTTCTTAAGGATGGACCAAAGCAACGGGGGACAAAGGCAAAAAAGAGAAGAAGGGAAGAAGAGGAGGAGGTGGAGGAGGAAAGAAGGGTGGATCCCTTCAAGATCTACCCAAAACTGACAACTGGCGCTCGTTGAGGTTTGAACTGATGAGCGATAGCCTTTAAAGGTCGTTTAAGTTGGATGTTTTCTGGTTCGGAGTGAGGTTCAGGTGAAGCTTTGATACGTCACTATTCCTCTTTTAGGACAAGTCATGTTGTTATCCACCACAAAAACCAACGCACTCTAGCCGATATCTCCCGGTGCCTCTGTCCCAGTCCGAGAATACCCCTGGAGCTCCAGTGAAGTTTGACTCAATCCCGTCCGAAAGGGTTCAGCAACAGAACCATTCGCCGCATGACAAAACCAGACCCACACAAAAATCACACTGAGTCCACTTAACCTGCTCAGTCCTGCAGATCAGAAGCGCCTGAACCAAAAATGTCTGAATATCAACTCTCCCAAATAACAGGAGGGACACTGTCAGGACACACCACAGCTCCTTTTCGTTCTGTCCATCACCTGTAAAATGTCCCCATCCGCAACAATGACAGCACAAGAGAAGTGGAAGAAAAAGTGGGGGACCGTCTGACCTGAGGTTTCAGCTCTGCAAGCTGGGTTGAGGATGAAGGGATGCAGACGGACGCTGCTGGACGGAGGGCGGCTTGTTTCCTCTCTGTCTTTCAAGCTCTCCCGGCATCCCCCTTACGATCACCCTCACCCTGAGAGAAGAAGGGGAGAAGACAGGGGTTTGATGAATACAGCATTTCCCAGAGATAGAGGTGACATTCATGAACGAGCGAGCGCGGGGATAGAGAGACAGACAGGGACACAGAAAGAAAGAGGAGGGAGGGAGGGAGTGCAGTGAGTCTACATATCCCCCCCACTCGGCTCGGGCTCTCCAACTCTCTCGGCTGCGCGCTACACCCCAGCAGAGCACAGCGCTGTGTCCTTCAGCATCGCACGCCGCCTCGCAGCTGGGAGAAGGAGGGATGAATGAATGGAGGGGGGGAGATGAGGTGAAGGGGAATAGGGGAAGGGGGTGTGCTGGCAGGTAGCCGTGCCTTACGGTAGATGCTGTATTGTCGCCGTTCATCCAAATGAACATCCACTGGTGGGTGACAGTAGTCCGGTCTGGTTCCGATGAGTCCAGTTGCACAGTGTGTGTCCATGTGTGTGTTTGAGAGAGAGACAGAGAGAGAGAGGGGGGGGGGGGGGGGGGGGGGGGGGGGGGGGAGGGGGAGGGAGGAGGAGGGGGAGAAAGTGTGTCTCCCCCGAACAAGGCACCTCTCAGCCTCAGCACACACGTGTGAGGAAGTGTGTATGTGTGTGAAAGAGCAGCACAGTGTGAAGGTGTACGGGTGTGAGGGTGTGTGACAGAGGCAGCATGTACGTGTGTGTGTGTGTCTGTGTGTGTGTGTGTGTGTGTGTGTGTGTGTGTGTGTGTGTGTGTGACTCGCTCTCTTGCTTGTCCCTGTTCACAGTGCATTACCGAGAGAGTGCTGGCATCGTGCTTCGCATGCTCTCTCTGTCGCTTCCTCCCTCTCTCTCTCTCCCTCTCTCTCCCTCAAATCTATTTCCCTAAACCCTCCCCTTTGCTCTTCTTTCTGCCACCCTTTTCTCCTTCTCCTCACTCTAATCCCTCCTTCGATGTGTGCGATCCAAACTCCCTTCCTCCTCTGGCTCCCCTATTATTTTCATCACTTCTCTTGCACCGTACTAGGCCAGGTCAGAGCACCCCCACCCCCCACTCCACCCTCCTACTCTTCTCTCCCATCCCACCATCTCTGATGCGATGCTGTCTTAAAGAGACAAACTAAGCGAGGTTGTCAATGTTGTGCTCTCAGCTATGACAAGGACGTATAGATGCCGCGACACAGCATGAGTCAGTCGGGACCTTGCGTCACTGTCATCAGAACATCTGTAAATGCGTCACTCACACAAACACTATCACGTACACTGCAGAGCAAGAAACTCACGGTCAGATCAGACAGGTTGTAAACAAGCCAACAGTTTGGTCAGATTATCTGAGCCAATTTCTTTGGAGGCAAGTGCAAAAGTGTTTGCACCCAAACTTGGATAATGATCCTAATTGCACAGCAAAACTGTGTGCAGGCACAACTACGGCAAGCATAGGTCAAAGTTGAAGAAGTCAGTCTATGGTGGATGTTTACAACAGTGTGGGTAATAATTTTCACATTCATTTTTAAATAAATAAATTTGTCTAACTTGTCTAACACCTGAGTCCAAGTCCAACTGAGATTATATTACTATATAAAATAGGGCATGGCACGTTAACGCGTTATCGCGTTAATGCATTAATTAATTAACGCCGAAAATTATTTTATCGCACATTAATGTAGTTTTTATTTTATTATTATTTTGAAAGTCCCTTGCTTACTGGCTCTGAATACACATACAGTCAAACCATGGGTCACAGGCCTTGTAACATCATTTCAGGTTTTTAACCGAATGAAGTGTGTGCAATTGAACACACGCCCTGACCCCGCTACACCCCCCCCCCCCCCCCCTCCCGCCATCGTCAATCCCGATGTTTCAATGTATTTTTGTAGACATCATCCCAACCCTACTGAACAGACTGATAAAAGATACCTGTTCAGAAAAAAAACAGGAAAAATGGTTTGGTTGGTTTAATATTTGATTTGATTACATTAATGTTTAAGTTGAGATTTAAAATAAATATTTTATTTGATTACATTGGAGCATTTCCAGTACCAGTAGTACCAGTACAGCGACAGGCAACAGGACCATAATTACGTAAGTCACGCGATGTAAGTCACATGACATAAACACGTGGTAGACGTGAAACGGTCACAGTTTGCTTGGGTTTAGGTAACAAAACTACTTGGTTAGGTTTAGGAAAACATTGCAGTTTGGTCAGCCACGTAACGGATGTCAGGTGACTTCACATGCAATGGAACGGAAGTCAGTAACGATAATAAATTTAAATAACACTATTTGCTTCGTTTCACATGGGACTCAAATGCCATTTTCCTGCATGAAAGTCCCGGCTCGGTCTGACCCGTTTCTCTACCCCCATGACCTTTCTCGTTATTTATGTCACCCTACTTGCCCCTTTGCTACCATTGTCCGGCCACTGGAGGTCGCTGTCACAATAAACTGTAATATGAGTTGTAATAACGTACTGAAAGGAAATATTCTCAAACCTATTTTCCATATCAAACTGAAAAATCCATCCTTCTGAATTTAAGTTTCTCTCTTTCACTGCTCTTGCCTTGTTAACTGTCTGTAAAACACACTTCATTCAACTCGACTCAAACTAAGTAAAACTCCCTAAAACTGTGCTGGTTAGTCTTCCCAGTTTTCCAACAACTCTGGTTTGGTCGAAATAAACCCTTAATTCAGTGTTAGATGTGAAAATATTCTGTCTCTACATGCTGTCGCTCTGATGCCTGAGCTCCCTCTTGCTCCTCTCCCGCTTGACGCCTCTCCTGTCCCGGCCTAAAGCCGCTGTGTCATTCATGGAGTTAGAGTCCAGGTCAGAGCTGCTGTAAATCACCTTGGTACTGAATTCTCCTTTCATCAAACTAGCTAATGGCAATTCAGTGTCAGTGTTCTATCAAAAGGCTGATAGTCACACTAAAAACAAGACAGCCACAGACTCTGAAAAACAACCACATCAGCTTCCCTGCTAAAATGTCTTTCCTCTGTTACTTAAAAACATGAACACACAGCTTGTCCTGCATTCTGCAAATGCTAGTTTGCCAACAAGATAGCTTATTAGCTGCACAACAGCATGTTAACTTACCAGATAATGTAACTTTGGTCTGTTTAGATCAGTGGTTCTCAACCTTTTTTGGGCCAGCATCCCCCTATCCATTATCCAGGTCCCTTACCGCCCCCCATCAAAAAAGATGTTTGCTGTTTACTCTAAATATTGTTGATTTTTTTATTGTTACTATTGTTATTAAAAACATGGAAAAGGTAACAAAAAGCCATGTGAACAGTAATTATATTTAACTAATAAGTGAATGTTCCTACCAGAAACTGTGTGTGAAGCCAGATACTGTTTTCTTGGATGGGGCACTTAATAAGTGGGGGCTATGGGGGTCCTCATAGGTCCTCATTTGAGCATTAAACACTTAATTTCCTGCATTTTGGTGAAAATTTCAATTTCTGCCTTTTCTGCACAAATTTATGGTGGAAATTCAGGTGGCAGGTGACAATTATATAATTATAATAGAATATGATCTAGTGAGGCTCTCAGGCATTCTTATTGCTTTTAAATATTTTTCTCCTGTAGATCAACTTATTTAATATCATCCCTGCTGAGTCAACACACGATTAAGTCTTACCTCCTCTTTTGGGGGGAAGTAACCTATTTAAACATGTTTGTGGCCCCTTTTCATCTCAGTAATAAATTAATACGTTTTAAGTCAGTTATTGACTGGACTTATCTGTTAATAACGTATCATAACTCAGTGTTTCCCACAGAATGACAGTGTAACTGTTGGGCAGATACAGCATGCTAGCCTCGAAAACCCAGCTGTATTCTAACATTAACTTAGCTCTCCTTATTAGCTAGGCTCCTTACATGCTTGCTAATAACTTTTAATAGCTGGGTCTCCGACATTGACAGCATTGTGTTGTGTGACAGATTTGTGCAGCTTTGTTCATGAGGGAGAGAGAGCGAGAGGGACGGGTGAGAGATGTGCCGCGCGAATACGCGCTGCCTGCAGCTCAAATACGATTTTGTGGCAGGCCGCCACAAATAAATGAACATATGGGAAACACTGTAACTTATCTGCTCATTCAGAATCTCTCCCATGTAGCCTATCTGAGTTCTCTGACATGTAAAGAAAAAAAGTCGTAATGGGAGACTAACGTCATTAGCCTATTTAAAGAGAATTCATAATATTTTAGGCTACTAAGTTACATGCCCTATACTGCATTATGTTACTGATTCACTGAAAATATCCCTTCGCCGTCTAACAGACAAAACTGTGCCGGGGGAAAACGAAACTAACCAACAACACCTGTGATCAGGCAGAAAGCTCACGAATAATTCCACACAGTTAACTTCAACATCTCTGATAAAGTGCCGCTTACAATCCCCAACAGTTTTTAACGTTACATTTTTATAGCCTACTGAAACTACAGTAGGCCCTATATGTCCGCTTTGGCACAAACTGTCTGCGACTCACAGCGCAAGGTGGGTCCACGTCACTCGCTGGTGTCGCAGCGAAGTTGCTTTCAGGGTGAGTCCGACAGCAGAGAAATAAACACTTTTCCGCAAAGAGTTTACACAGTAAATCATGTGGGTAAAATTTTAGAGATGATACTCTGACTTCCCGTTCCCATGAATGCAGCACGAACATGCACCACAAGTAGCTGATGGAGAAAAAATACAGAGTCTCGTCCAGTCGCAGTGGACTAAACTGGCAGGTTTTAATGTTGCAGACCACAGCTTTTGCAAGTTTAAAGTTTAAACTCGTATTGTTGTGAATATTAAGTGTAAACTAGCCTAAAAATTTCCAACCAACAAACGCCCCCCATCGTCCTCGGAACACCCCCTGGGGGGCGGTGCCGCCCCGGTGAGAAACACTAGTTTAGATGCTGGTGTGGTGCTTACTCTTCAATGCCACTTACAACAAGGTGTCCACCCAGAACGTTTCCTCCCAGACACTAACATACCCCTCCAGCCACTTTAGACAAAAGGAGAATTTCTGCTATAACCCCAAATATCTTTTAATTCTTCCTTTTAATATAAAAAAAATATCAGCAATACTTTTAAAAGACACTAACATTATTTTGACTACAAAAAGGGGTAATTAAATTGAAACCTGTCTGATCATCTACACTTTCTTCGTTTTTT